CCCCTGCAATGAACGGCATCGCCGAGCGAGCAAACCGGACAATCACGGAGACAGCGCACGGGTTGCTCATTGAAGCCGGGCTACCAGACTATTTCTGGCCTGATGCAGTGCGGAGCGCGTGTGTGGCCAAGAACAGAGCCTTGAATCATGTGGGAGCAGACAAATGGGTGCCCTATGTGGAGTGGATTGGAAGGAAGCCAAATGTGGATATGCTTCGGGTGTTCGGGTGCATGTGCATGGCGCTTGTTCCTAAGAATCTCCGGCACAACAAGCTAGGTGTCATGGCGATATGGGCTGTACATTTGGGCATGGCTCAAAACAGCAAGGGGTGGCTTCTTTAGGACCCATTCACCAAGAAATTCTTGGTGAGCAGGGACTGCAAATTCATGGAGAACCTGATGTATAAGGATTGGAAGGCGGAGAATGAGGCGAAGATAGACGTGCGGTTTGGGGAGGTGAAGAGTTCTGATTTGGAGCATGTGGAGCTGCCCTTTGAGCTGAGCAGCGGCAGCACCACCACAAGGCAATCTGCCCTTGTGAATGGGGGAGAGGAGGCCAAGGGCGCAGAGGAAGTAGAGGAGGAGGTGCAGCAAGTGAGCGAGAGTGCACCGACACTTCCTTCTCGCACTACGAGTGCTCCACGGATCCGAGTCACCCCGCAGAAACGCCAAGGCCTTCATGTCCCTGCAGCTGAGGAAAGAAGGGGCAAGAGGAGAATTCAAGCCCCTAATAGGTTGACCTACGATGCATTGGGAAAGCCAGCCAAGTCAGCTCTGGCCGGAGCGGCACTTATAGTTGGAGATGACGAGGAGAGTGACTACGACGAGTGTGCCTTCGCGTTCTTCTCTCCGGTGGAGATGCCGGGGGAACCAGCAACTCTCAAGGAGGCCTTGGAGAGTAGTGATGCTGAGGAGTGGAAGAAGGCAATGGAGAGTGAGCTGAAGAGCATTGAGGAGAACGGCACGTGGGAAATGGTGGAGCTAGCTAAGGGTTGTAAGGCGATTACGTCCAAGTTGCTCTTCAAGATCAAGTCCAACGCCGACGGCAAAATCGAGCGCTACAAGTCTAGGCTTGTGGCCAAGGGGTACCAGCAGAAAGAGAAGGTGGACTATAAGGAGTTGTTTGCTCCTGTGGTGAAGCCGACGATACTGAGAACCCTACTCACAGGGGGCTGCCATCAAAGGATGGGTGGTGAAACAAATGGACGTGACAACCGCGTTCCTCGACGGCATTCTCGAAGAAGAGATTTTCATGGCGCAGCCAGAGGGGTTTGATGATGGTAGTCGCTGAGTCCGGAAGCTGAAGAAGGCGCTCTATGGGCTCAAGCAAGCCCTTAGGCAGTGGTACTTGAAGCTGCGTGAAGTCTTGGGGGAGATCGGATTCACTCCCTCATCCACCGATCATTCCTTGTTCATACTTGGCGAGGGGGAGCAGAGGAGTTTCATGGTGGTTTATGTGGATGACATCCTCATTTTCTCACCCTCCTCTGACCTTGTGAAGGAGGTGATGCTGAAGCTTCAAGACAAGTTCAAGTGCAAGACCCTTGGTGACTTGAGCTTCTACCTCGGGCTCCACATCGAACGAGATGTGGAGAAGCGGTGCATGCGGGTGCATCAACGGAAGTACCTGGAGGCATTGGCTGCCAACTTTGGGCAGAGTGAAGGCCATGTGGCTACACCCTTTCCCTCTGGGTTCAAGTGTGTGAAGGGACCAGAGGAGGAGAGCGTTGGTGAAGAGGAGAGGCGCCGTTTTCACTCGTTGGTGGGCAGCCTCATGTACGCGGCGGTAATCACCCGACCGGACGCCACCCTTGCAATTGGACAGTTGGCTAGGGTTGTTCAATGCCCTAATGAGGAGCAGGTAGCAGTTGGAATGAGGGTGGCCAAGTATCTTGGCAAAACAGCGATTGTTGTGCTGCAATACTTGGCGGCGGCGCAAAGGCGCCAAAAGGGCGCGGATGGTGTTGAACCCTGGCGTTTGTTCCTGACCGCATTCTCGGATGCTTCTTATGCATCGGAACCAGAGGACATGACAAGTGTTGAAAGGTTCGTCTGCTGTGTTGGTGGAGGCCCAACTGCTCTGGAGAGCAAGAAGCAGGTGGATCAAGCATTGAGCTCGGTGGAGTCCGAGTACATGGCACTCTTCCGTGCCGTACGGGAGATTGTGTGGCAGCAGCGTTTGTTGGCTGAGTTGGGGGAGGAGCAGCAAGGACCTACCCCACTCTATTGTGACAGCCAATGTGCCATTGCTCTTGCTAAGAACCCTGTGTTGCATGGCCTCACGAAACATATGAGGGTGAAATGGCATTGGACGAGGAGCATGGTGGCCTCGGGTGAAGTTGAGTTGCACTGCGTGAAGACGACAAGGCAGCTAGCTGACATGATGACCAAGAGGCTGGTGGAGCAACAGCATTGGAAGTGTTGCAAGCTGGCTGGGATGGCTCTGAACAGAGAGAACCAGATCCTAAGGCCAACAATCCGAGGGGGAGTTTGTTGGTGCAACCCTACGGTTTGCATTCGGCTTGTTGTCTGTATGCGTGCATGCGTGTGTGCATGGAATGGTATGAGGGCATGAGATAATATATATTTCATGCTTAAAATAGTGTGTGAATGATGAGGTATGATTTTGAATGTGTGTGTCGAGTCAATAGCGAGTTATCGCTAGTCGTTTGTCATGTCGTCGTTTGCGTGTGTGGTTTTCTATTTTGTCGTGTGTGGAACGTTCGGCGTGTCGCAGGTGTGCGCAGCAGACTTCCAAGAACTCAAGGAAGAATTTATCTTGAAGAACCAGAGCCTTGGTTTCAAGATTCAAGTGATTTGAAGCTCTCCAAAAGGTTTTACTTCAAGATAGTGAGATTAGTTACATTACTTTGTGTAGTGTAACATTTCTCTTGGTGTAGGCCCTTGTGGAGGGTAGTTTCGAGACCCTTCGTGGTTGGGGACAGTGTGGCACTGTTCCACATCACTGTACCTCGGCTCTTGGGGTTTGTAGGAGCTGGGAGTCATTCCCAATTAGTAACTCTTCCTAATTTGTGTTCTAAGACTATAGTGGCTGCCATAGTACCGTTCATTCAAACCAGCACTGTGTCGTGAATTCTTAATGAAATCGTGCAATCTAAATGTTTTATTGTAGGCGACAATACGACGCTCCAGATCCAAGTTGAATCAGGTCATTTGAAGCTGTGACCAGAACGCTATCAACGTTTGAAGCTGCTGTGCAGAAATCCGTCTGTGCACTCTATCTTTCATTTTAGGCACATTCAAGCCTATTGTGACCATAACAGTGTTGACTCACAAATTTCCCCCAGCTCTCAAGCTTGAAGTGCAGGCTCAATTGACGTTGTATGTACAATCTTGTATAATCTTCATTATTCGATCACTTAAAGTGTCTACATGGCAGCAAAGAGAAGATCTTTCCTAGAGAGATCTTGGGAAACGACAAGGGAGGGAGCAGGGGGGAGGACGGGTAGCAAGAATGAGGGCACAGAAGAAGAATGTACAATGATAAGACACATACATCAGAGATGTATGTATGATAGACACACACACACACGTAGGATACATAGAGCTTACATACATAGATTCATATGTCATAGATACATATATGATAGATATATACATCTTTAGCAGCACATCAACCAGGCCTCCCTCCCTCCTTTCTCCATCCCTCCCTCTAGCCTCCACCCATCTCCTCTCCAAGCCTATAGGAAAGCAGCCTACAACACAGGCACCCAACCCCATTGCATTTCACCCTAGCCCAAACAGCGTCTCCTCTTCAAATCCCGGCCTGCACTCACCTTCTCCCGCAGCCTAAAGCGAGGCAATCCATGATAATAGCAGCCTTTCCGCAATCCCCCTTGCCCATCCCATTTGCCCTCCCCCACCCCCATCCTTCCCCACCTCCCCCACTCACCTTTTTCTCTCAGCACTAGGGAGGCAGCCCACAGTAAAAGCAGCCCTCCCCATCCCCATTTATCCTAGTCCCGCACCCTCTACTCTTCCCATAAGCCCCTACTCTTCCCGTCTGCCCTTACTCTTCCCGTCTGCCCCTACTCTTCCCGTCTGCCCCTACTCTTTCCATCTGTCCCTACTCTTCCCGTCTGCCCCCACTCACCTTCTCTCCAAGCCTGAAGGGGGGCTGCCCGTGGTAAGGGCAGCCATTACAGTGAAAGGTGTCTCCTAGCCCACACTGCAGTAGCGGGGAGGGGTGGAGAGTGAGGGGTGGAATGGTGGATGAGAGGAGAGGAGGAGGCACAAGAGGGCCAACTGGCTCTCATGGTGCGATGACAAGACAGAAGGGAGGCAACCCGCGATAAGAGCAGATAACATAACGGAAGGCGTCTCCTAGCCCACAGTGCAGTGCGGGGTGGGATGGATGGCAGAGGGGGGAGGCATGAAACAGAAACAACCATGATCTGGCAGCCATGGTGGGATGAAGCGAGCAAAGAGGAAGGCATCACATAGACCACACTAATCAAGTGTCATAGTGGTCCCCCCCCCTCATTCTCTCCCCCTTATCCAGTTCCTTACATCAAAATATATTGATACCCTGCATGCATGCACTCATGCTTTGGCAGATGCACTCACGCTTCAATCCTTCCACTCACACTGCCACATGCTGACTCAGGGTTGGCGATATGATCGAGTCAGCTCGCTCTTCCCCTGCACGCCCTCTACCCCTCCCGCCTCTTCTGCTGCCTCCATCTCCGCCCGCCCGTACGTGCAATTCGCACATGCCTTTCTTGCGGTCTTGCCCGTGCCACATCCTGGAAAAAGGTGACACAAAAGACAGAAAATAAGGTTAAGGAACGAGGAGGAGGAAGGGGGGAGCCAGGAGGGAGGAGGGTAGGGGGAGTTTCAGCCACTCAACCATCTCTGCCCGCCCACACATGCATGTCTTGCATGCATTCCATGCCGTCTTGCCCGTGCCACATCCTGAATGAGTAGGAAATGAGAAGGGGTTGGGGCGCGGGGAAAGGGGGGCAGGGGGGGGGAAGAGTGTCAGGTCTTTCCCTGCGCGCCCTTTGTCCCTCCTGCTTCTTCTGCTGCCGCCATCTTAGCTTTTCCACCCGCCTTCTTGGCGTCGTGGCAGCGCCACAGATTGAAAGAGTAGGGGAAGAGAGTCTGGAGGGAGAGAGGGGGGGGGGGGGGGCGGGGGGGGGTGGGGGGAAGAGGGGGGAAAGTTCGTGCATGTCGCACCATCATCGACCCTCACACGTCAGTGTCACTGTCTTGATACATGCAGAAGTACTGGGAGCAAGAGGCACAGGAGCCTCCAAACCCTCCGGTGTGAGCAGCAGTGGGTGCTGATAGAGAAATCACATCCTTCCAGAACATGCGAGTACTGGTACTGCCAGCACACCTGCAGCAAAAGCACCACACATGCAGCAGCACTAGGAGGAGGGGGCACATGAGCCATCAAATCCTCCACTCTCAGATCAGCAGCAAGTGCTGCTAGAGTGAGAGCCCTGCAGGAACCACACCATAGCATGAATTGAACCGCCAGCACCAGCAGCAGCAGTATGGGAGCAGTAATGTCATCGCGCGTACATGCAGCAGCGCTGGGGGGGAGGATGCACATGCGCCACCAGATCATCCACTGTGAGCAGCGAGTGCTGCTAGAGTGGAGTCATACCAGCAGCAGCGGCGCTACTAGTGCTTCATAGAGTAGATTCACAACTGCTAAATGGCATTCCTGCAGCAGCACTAGGAGGAGGAGACACAGGCGCCACCAGATCCTCTGCTGTGAGCAGCGAATCCTCGTCCACCAGCTCATCCTCGTCCACCAGCTCATCCTCCTCCTCGCCCGCTCCACCAGTAGCGACGCGCCACGTGGCGGGAGCAGGAGCGGGCAGCAGCACGCCTGCTAGCGTGGCAGGCGCTGCTGCTGGCACAGCAGCAACAGCAGCAGCAGCAGTAGTGGGATTGGAGGAGGTGTTTTTCTCCTTGAGGGAGAAGGAGGAGTCGGTTTGCCACGCTGGTTTTTGTGCCTTGAGCTGCAAATGGAAAAGAGTGAAAGGGTGGGGGGAAAGGGTGGGGGTGGGGGGAAGGGGGGAAGAGGCAAGCATTCTTCTTGAAGAAAAAACGTAGGAGCCGGTTTGCCACGCACGTTTCTGTGCCTTGAGTTGATCACACACGCATGCATGGGGAGGGAGTGGGGGGGGGGGGGGGGGGGAGGGGGATAAGGGGGGTAGGAGGGGTGCTATCTTAAAAAAAAAAAGGAGCCGCTTTGGCATGCTGATTTCTGTGGCTTGAGCTAAGAACATGCGTGCATGTGTGGCGGCGGGGCGGGAAAGGGGAGGTGGGGGCGGTGGGAGAGGCAGGAGGCGGGTGGGAGGGGGAAAAAAGCCAAGCATTCTTCTTGAGAGAAAAGGAGGATAGGTTTTGCCATGCGAGTTTCTGGCCTTGGGCTGAGAGAGTGGGGGGTGGAGGGAGGGAGGGAGGTGTTGACGAGAACAGGTATAGGCCCTGCCCTCGCTTGGGCGAAGCCGATGTAGTGGTCGGGTGCATGGGAGATGTGGCTGACAATCTGCAGAGGTCGACGCGTGCAGGTCGACATAGTTGGTCGACTTGTAGAAGACTGCTGCGAAGCCGCCGACGATGGGAAGCCGGCAACAGATTTCGACTGGCATGGTCGACGAAGGGGTTCATCGACCTGCCTTGGGGAGTGGTTGACGAAGGAGGTTGTCGACCTGCGCGGGTTCGTCAAAGAGGCCGTCGACAGTGGGTGCTCGACGTCGGCAGCTGAATGAGCTGCTCAACGGAGGGGTACGTCGACCAGGGTGGTCTTCGACAAGAGCAGCGGTCGACGAGGGAGGTCGTCGACCAAGGCGTTGGGTGGTCGACCGGGTCGACCTAGTAACCTCGACGAGGTACCGCGGAGGCGCGCGAGGCTCGTCGAGGCTGCGATGGCAAGGGCGACCTCGGGCTGTTATCCCAAGGTCGACGTGGAGCGTCAGGCGTAATTGTCGGCATGTGGCCGACTTGGCAGATGCGCGACGGTAGAGAACGTGCTCGACCATCGCCCCGCACCTGCGAAGTGGGTGCGCACCTGCGCTACTGTCACTTGCGGATGCAACGCTGGGAGACCGCTCTGCTGTAGCGTTGGCAAGCCGCTTTGTCGACCTGCTCTGTTGGCATGCCGCCTTTCTGTACTGCTGGCGCGGTGCCTCTACGAAACACTGGCAGATTGTCGACCTTGCTGTGCTGGCGGTCGACCAGCTTGTCTGCAAGGTTGCTAGGGTCCTGATGTAGTCATTCTTGCCATTGCTTGTTTTTTTTTTTTTTTTTGTAATCCCAACTTTGCTAGTGGAAAGGAACACAGGCAAAGCTACGATCACACTTACACAACTCGTGCCAACCCCATAGTCTAGCTCTTACCGTTGTAGAATGAATCTCCGCATGGTGCGGTGAGCGTGTACGGCCCCGCAAGAAACCTTCATACTAGTAGCCGAATTTTCACTTACCTAAGTCGTTCGTAGGCCGGCAGCTCGTGCAGACTATGACGCCCGTCCCGGTAGGATCCGGCGTGGTAGAAGATACTCTAGAGGCACGCTTGGCTGATGCGAGGAGACGCCACGAGGCTGGCAAGTTCGGGTCGACCCTTCCTTTGGAGGTGGTCGTTCTGGGCATCCGTGCGCAGTAGGTGATGGAGCACCCTTCCCGACCTGTTTCTCCTCGATCGGTGCGAAACAAGGGCGGCGTCGACGAGGAGGTCGACGGCGTTTCCCAAGTCACCGGCAACAAAAGCACGAAGAAGAGAGGTGTGATTAGGGTCAACAGTGGCGTCGACGATAGCCAGGCGTGTGTGCAGCGATCGATGGCAGTTGTAGGCAACTCGCATGTCGACGTCGACGAGCGATGTCACTCACCCCAGCAAAGCAGTGGGAGGCCCACGTCGAGGACGCACGTGACGGCGGGCGGGATCGCGCCGGCGTACCGCTACTTCATTTTTTCGCCGGATAAGATCGCCGTACTAGTGCCGCTGCAAGGTCGACGGGACCTCATCACGTGGAGGGAGTCCATCAAGCCTCAGCTACAGATCGCTGGGCTGAAGGGTTTTGCCGACCGCGACGTGCCGATAACGGACGTGGACGACGTCGATCTACGAGTGGAGTTTCATGCCGAACACCTGCTGACTTTCATGGTCATCTCGAGGTGCTGCTCGCCGGTGGTGCAGATAGCGTTGAAGTCGTGTCGACTTCGACAGGACGCTGGCCACCAGGCATGGCGGTTCATCCCGTCGACGTATCAGGCGACGGACGATCTGTACATCAGTCAGCTGGAGGAGCAGCTGACTCACCTTTGGATGGGAGAGCAGGAGTCCGTGATGGACTACTGCAACCGTGCTTGACGGATCCTCGCGGAGATGCGGATGGCGGGCGTTGACTACTCGACGGCATCGTACATCACGCATGTCGTCAAGGGGCTCCCGAGCAGCTACAACCTCATGCGCCGGATGTTGGTGATGGCCGGCTTGTGGGAGTCGCTCGACGAGGACACTCTCACCAGCCACATCGTCAAGGATGAGGCAATGTAGGAAGCTGAATGGCCCATGGAGCTCCTTTCGCAGGCGAACTACGCCGCCCTGACGAAGCAGAGTCGTCAGCAGAGGCAGTGCTGGAAACCGGGCGGAGGTGGTAGCAGAGGTGGGCGGTCGACAAGGGACGTCGACGAGAAGAAACCGGCTCGAGAGAGCGGTCGACACGCTGGTGGTCGACAACGGGAGTGTTGGATTTGCGGCGAACCCAATCACTTCTCCTTCAAGTGTCCCGATCGCGATGATTCCGATGACGACGACCGCAAGGGCGGCCGCAGGAGGTCAGCCAACGGTCATTGAAGTCGGGATGAGAAGCCGCGCAAAGAGAAGCATACGTCGAAGAAGACGTCGTCGACGAAGGACGTCGACTCATCCAGCGGCAAGGGACGAGGTGACGGAGAGGCGTCGTTCTTGATGGTCGGCGCTGTGGAGCCGACTCTTTCGCTTGCGCCGGAAGCCGAAGAGGACTTCAAGGCAGTCGCGGCCACTATGCAAGCAAATCCCATGGTAGTGGTGCTTGACAGCGGCTGCTCGCACCGCCTCATGGAGACGAAGGAGGTCTTTGTCCACATGGCGCCGAGCGACGACATGAAGCATGTGCGCGGCTTCAACGGGGCTCTACAGACCGTTGAGGGCCGCGGCACAGTCGCTCAGCAAGGGGAGGTCGGGTGGCGGGTACTCATCCCCGACGTGCTCTACATTCCGGGAGTGCAGGCAAACCTGCTGTCTGCCGGCCAGCTGCAGGAGAGCAGCGTGAAGTTGCAGGACGACGACGACGAGATGGTGCTCGTGTCGTGTGTATGTGAGGTGCTTAGTCAAGCACGCTACACTGGCCGTGTCCTCTGCACTGCTCGACGAAGCTGTCGTCGACATCGACTGATGTGGTGGCCCTGCAAACGATTGCTTCTGCGACAAAGTCGACCTCCGACTGGTGGCACGAGAGGCTCGCGCACGTCGGCATCGACACGATCAAGAGTTTGGCGAAGCATAAAGTCACCACCGGCCTTGACATCAAGTCATCGACCGGGCCGACTTGCCGTGTGTCTCGTGCCTCAGCGAGAAGCTGGCGCGACACACCTTCCCCAACAAGGGTTCAAATGCAGAGGAAGCGCTGGCCGTCGGGCATATCGACCAGTGCAGGCCATTTCGGGTGGCTGCCAAGGATGGCAGCCTGTATTTCCTGCTGCAGAAGGTTCCGCCACACCTGGTATTTGTGGGTAAAGCCAGTCGCTAAGAAGAGCGACGTGCTGCAGGAGTTTGAGAAGTGGCTGCTGGTAGTGGACCGACAGACGAAGAATACGGTGTTGATGCTCCGTTCAGACCGCGGAGGGGAGTTCGTCAGGAGGGAGTTCACCGATTTCGTTGACGGGAAGGGCATCGTCCACTACCTGACCTGCCCATATACTCATCAGCAGAACGGCATGGTAGAACGGGAGATGCGCACGGTCGTCGAGGTCGTGCGGACGATGTTGCTGCACATGGAAGTGTCGATGTCTTGCGGCAGGCCATCTGGGTGCACAGCTGCTTGGAGCGGTCGACGACGCCACTGGGGACGACTCCGTACGAACAGCTAACCAGCAAGAAGCCCGACATGACACTGGCGCGGGTGTGGGGCTGCATGATGCAGTTCATGGTCCCCGAGAAGCAGCGCGGTGGGAAGTTAGTGATGGAAAGCGCGTGAATCTAGAGAGCGTACAAGAGATTAAGTCCGCCGACTTCGACGGAACATTACGTGCAGCTCACGTAACCTTCAACTATGAGCAGGTACGCGTTGGAAATTTCTTAATCTCTAATTTCCAGATGGTAACGCCCGCTTTCAACCAAGATCTAGGCCGATCGCTATCGCGATTTAAGTACGATGAGGTGTCCTGGTGGAATTACTTGGCAGCCATGGATTAGATATAGGAATGGCTTAAGCTAGAGTTCAGATCTGAAAAGTGACAAGTTTGACAAACCCTACCATCCCAACCCTCGCCAAACAACAATCCCCAACAACCCAAAATGCCAAACTAGCAACACTAAAGGTGTTGTAGTGGGTAGCAAAGGTTTGTTGGTGCTTGTTTGGTGCGAGATCAAATTCAGCCCGTAACAAGTCTAGCAATCATATTTTGCCCAAACCCTTAGCCCAAAACCAGCTAGAGCAAAATACCACAACCACCTACACAATCAACACTCCCCCTTGCTCGTGCTGGAGGTGGCTGAACACCACCGGGCAAAATCCTTCACTCCACTCCCCCTTGCCCAGGGAGGGGCGCCATCCACAGCATGATGTTGTTAAGGCAGAGAAGCACCAGCCCTCCCACATCGTGCTCAAGCACCGTGCCAACATGGGGCTGCATCCCCATCAAGGACATGCACACACCGTGCCGCTCAAAAGGAAGGGGTTTGGTGAGTATGTCTGCTGCTTGACGGTTGGTTGGGCACCACCGGAGGATCACCTCGCCGCTTGCCACCATCTCCCTGATGAAATGCCACCGAACCTGCATGTGCTTGGTGCGGCCATGCAAGCATGCATTTTGTGCAAGGGCA